TATTAAAATTTAAAAATAGCATATTCATACATATTTATGTAATTAACAATTAACACAAGAACAAGACTGCAACACTTTGCAAACAAATTGCTAGACCCTTCATACCAAAAAAAATAAACAAAAAACAATACAAATGCAAGAAGTAATATTTCTGAATATTGCAAGTAAAACCTACAGTGAAGATTATAAATGTGAGTAATAAAAATATAAATATTTATGCAACAAGTAATTTCAGGCACGATGTTTGTTTCCGAAACTCCTTCCTATGAAACTCTCAAAATGAACGGTAGACTAAAAAATAAATATTCGGTCGGTTTACATGAATTTCCGTATTGTTTGTTAAAGGTTTGCGCGCCCGCCATTGTACACCCGTTAACTCCAATGTTTAATGTATCCTTACACACAGGAATTTTTCCAGATTTTTTAAAACAGCTAAGATTAAGCCGCTTTTCAAAAAAGCCAACAGAAATGAAATTCAAAATTATCGGCCAATTTCTCTTTTGTCGTTTTTTTCAGAAATATTTGAGACTTTTTTTACGTTCGAATGGGAACATTTCTTAGCGAACACGACGCGTTTTCAGATTGCCAACATGGGTTTCGAAAAACAAAATCTGAGGAAACAGCCATATTTTCTTTTCTTAAAGATGTCGCCTCATCCATGGATCAAAACGAAGCACCTATTGGAATATTTTTAGAATTTTCAAAAGCTTTTGACATAATTGATCATAACATTTTACTCTCAAAATTACCTTCGCTCGTATAGAATTCGTGGTGTTGCCCTAGATTGGTTATGTTTGTACCTGAAAGAACGATTTCAGAGAGTAGAAATTCCTTACTGGAATAATGGAACTTTATGTACACACCTTTCTGATACTTTGCCAATTGCATGTGGAGTTCTGCAGGAATCGATTTTAGGCCCTGTTCGCTTCCTACTGTACGTAAACGATATGACCTCGACTATTAGAAACGGGAGTTAGATGCGTACGATACGATTCTTTGCAATAAAGAAGCCGTTCTTTTAGATTTCAAAAATAATTGTTCGAATAATAAGCAAATCCCACCCACGTGATTCTTGTAAGCCTCTCTTTATTAATCTAGGTATTTTACCATTACCTTGTCTCTTAATGTATGAATCAGTGATTTTTGTCAAAAATGACTTACTTAAGGGCGGAAATGTATTTTCAGCAAACGCCGTTTTCTATAACTACAACACTCCACGTAGTAATCATATTTATCGGGTAACAGTATCAACAGCTCACTACAAAAAATTCACATATAATACATATACATTATTTTACAACACCTTGCCAGATGACATTAAACGATTAAATTCCATACAAAATTTTAAATCCCAAGTAAGTTTTTTCTGCTGCACTATTGTTTCTATACTATTAGAAACTATACCGAGCATCCAAAAGGAAAGTATTATTAGTTTTAACAATGGCATTTCATGTATTATATATTATTTGGATTGTATAATTGTAAAGAACCTGTAACATGTATTGAACTTCAGCTTCATGGTCAATGACCCCCATTTCGATCAGGTTTTCGTCCAGTTTCCCTGATCCTCGAGCAAATTCTGAGATGGCCCTTTGTTTTGCTTCTGGACATAAATGTAACTTCAAATTATATTCTCCGCATAGCACGTCACACACAGTTTTTAATTGTGTTTGACGTAAATAAAAAAATAAACAAATAAAAAAATAAACAAATAAAAAAATAAACAAATAAAAAAATAAATAATAATAAATAATAAATAATAAATAATAAATAATAAATAATAAATAATAAATAATAAATAATAAATAATAAATAAATAAAATAAAAAAATAATAAATAATAAATAAATAAAATAAAAAAATAAAAAATAATAAATAAATAAAATAAAAAAATAAAAAATAAAATAAATGACGACGAGATAAATAATTTTACGTAATATTAATTTCAATTCCTTCCCAACAATTCAAATTTAACACAACTGTATTGACCAAATTGTAAGGAACAATATAAAAAGTTTAAAAACCGTTACCTGTACAGAAATATTGAATTAGAAATTGAAGTTGTAACTTGGATGTGATATTCTGCCAAAAAAGAAAATCCCCCATTCAGTAAAACTTTTAATATTGACTTCTAGCCTACTTGAACCAAGCCGTAATCGTGGCGCTGTAATGAAAAAAATAAGCAAAAAACGTTAACAAAGAGTTTTTCTCGACAATTACACATCATTTTTTTTTATTTCATGTTAAATAATTTTGAAGAAGCTACTCAATCATACCATACGTCGCCGAAACAAAATGAAACAAATTGCTTGTGGGCTTCGCAATGTCCTATAGTATTCTTTAATGTGTATTAACTTACAAACCCGTATGTTGTCTCGACAAATACGTTCGGTGCAATTTAACCCTCTAATGCCCAAGGTACGTGTGTGCGCAGAGCACTGACGTTCGTGCGCGCATAGGAGCCGTTGGAATCAGACACAGCAGTGCGGCTCAAATGTGGGTCCGTAACAGTGATGGCGTGGGGCGCACTTTTAACAGATTGCAGTGAAATACTTAAATTATCAGTGTGACTGCAAGCTTTAATCTTATCTAAAGCAAAAGTATTTTAGATAAAAATTTAAGGAGCTATGGCTATTTGAACAGTGTGTATTTCTACGGCTTTAATGTAAAATTTGCCATGTTTGGACTAATGTGGCACACTGTTTGAGCGAAATAAGTAATGTTTGATAATTTTGAGTAATACGTAAGTCAAATAGACTCCGTATTTCAGAAGGGATTTATATCAGGATAGCTCCATAGACGGTGAGTATTTTTATATTAGTCTGCTGTAGATATATAGTGGCGGATATGGGTTTCACCTGAAGCCCAGCGAGGGTCAGTTATTTTAGTAAGTAATTTGATAGAAACCATTGAATAATGTAAAATATAAATTAGTTGACAGTCTGGGAACATTTGATACTTTATTCGCACGATAATTAAAAACACTATATCAGGAGCAACGAGGACATTCTATTGATAACGTCTGCAGCCGAGAAATACAGCCATGAAATCAGCAGTAAGCTTATTCACTTTATTTAAAAATCTTATGGTAAATTAATGTTGTATATATTAAGAAAGTTATCCAGTTCATTCATGACCTCTAAAACATTATGTAAAGTTGTTAGAATAAGTGTTGAATTTGATTTCTGAAAAGAGAAAAGACTGATAATTCACAGTAGTTCCAATCAATTTAATAATTAGTTTGTTCAGCAGAACCTCCATCACCCAAGCTCCCTGGTTCAACTCCAACTCGCAACTTCATACTTAATTAAACATCAAACCAATTTCTCACTATATTGCTTATCTTGCCAATAACTTTTTCTTCAACAATTAATCAATCAAAGCAGAAATCTAAAACTCGGTAAATATACAGAACGTCAAACTCGAATAAAAAATAGATATGTTACATGCATTTCTGGCCATATTCAGCAATACAGAATAAATCAATTGAAGTGTTCTGAGAGTCCCCTCGTCAGATGTAGCTTTGTTTTAGTAGTAAAACAGATTAAGTTAGATTGTAAGCCAGAGAAGCAAATGTAAAGTTCACATAAACTGAACTTTGTAATCTCATTCAGAGCAGAAATAAATTTAAAAAACAACAGTCCTTTCACAGGGAAAAATGAAGAGAGATGGACTGCGCACGAGTATATATTTGTAAAGAGCGATGTTCCTCACCACACCACAGCGGGTCACCTGGCAATCGGCCAATGAGGACAAAGCATCGGGCAATCGGCAAGGGACTCCCAGGCGGGATGGGAGAAGATGCTCCACCCGTGGTCGGACGTCATGGAGCAGCCGTACCCGCGGCCTGATGCGAACGGGTGTCGAGGTAACTTAGATGTTTCCAGGCTTCGAAGAGACGCAGGTCTTGGTCGGAAATGAGATTTTGGAGATGTTTGAGAATTTTCATGGCCTATTTTACCCTGCCTTCGCTCCAAGCGGTCTTCCCTGGCTAGGAGGCGGACGTTTACGAACAGATACATGGCCAGTTTTCGACTCTAGCCCTCCACGCACGGAAAACTCTCCCAGCCATTTTTTTCAAAACTCCCATAGGAGAGAAGACGAAGGACACAAATTGAAAGGGAAATTCTAAAAACCGAATTAAAATTAAAACCTTAGTAGAAAAGTTAAAAGATACTTGTTATTTAAATGTAACTAAAGAGTTATTTAGTAAATATTTATTAGTCAATATTTATTATTTCATAATCTACAACAATTATCCCTTATAAGTAATTCACATCATCATTACCTGCAGGTAGAACAAACACATCATCATTATTACCATCATCGAGAGATCTTTCTCTCATTTCTATTGCAATATTATGTAATATTCCTGTGCCTAAATTAACTGCTTGGGTTCTGCTCAAATTCAAGCACATTTCCAATCTCAGTATTGGGAAGTGACGTTTCCAAACACCGTTCTGGTCCTCAACAATATTCCTTGTGCGAATGTATGCCTCTTTATACAGATTTTAGCAGCTGTTGTAGGAGGAGGTAATGGTTTTACTAGATAATTATAATTCTAGTAACCGGAGACACACAACAAAATTCCTGAAAAAAGATTCTCAAATTTGGCTTCGATTTGCGAGTTGCCGAAAATGAGCAGATCATTAGTAGCAATGGGCCATCGAGCGACAATATCATGAATTTTTAAATTTGCATCACATACATTGCGTTGTAATTCAAAAATTGTTGTATTTCGCAAACTTTCTGCATTATCTTGACCTGGTGATAGGATTTAATCATGAGTGCAATTAATTACACCAAATACTTGTAGGAATCGAGCATTCCATTAAAAGCAAGCTGAACTTTATGACGTTGTGCAGCTCACGGCATTTTAATGCAGTATTTTCTTGATGAATAAATTGCGAGAGAAACTCCATAAATAAGTACAGAAGCTGATCCCTCATTAATCCATTGAAATGTCACTGATATTAACATATTTGTAGGTACGTAAAAGCACTAAATTGCTTCTAGGTGGCACAGCATTGTTCCTGAAATACAAAGAAAACAAATTGTCTCTCTAATGTTAGCATTATCGCTCAGTATGATAAAAAAGAGTATGTTTTATCATCAATTGTTTCCTTTCTGTATTCTTTTTACTACCTTGTATACTTTCATCAGACGCGGATCTACGGGGTTCGAAATGAGATAAATTCCCTCCCCCACAAATTGTTGGTAACTATTAATTTCAATTTGTCACGGAACATTCAAGCAAAAATATTTTTGGATAATAATGAAAATAAATAAAATCATATCGCAGGATGAGATGATCGTATCCTGCGGCATTTAACTAAGTATGTAATAACACATTCGACAAAAACCTTTTTAATTTCCCCACCCAAAATTTGCCTCTGGATCCACTCCTGCTTTCATACATGTAAAAGGTATGTTATGGAGTGCAAAATCCACTTTAAGAGTCACGTTAATTAAAACATCTTACCAAATTTGATTTATATTTAGTAAGTACAATGAAAATGCAGGTTATTATGTACTTACCGCATTGTTCTAGGGGATATTATTGGTTCTATTTGTGAAAGAAAATTCATTACACTTTCTTTGAAAGACGAAGTATTATTTTAAGTTGGTCATCGCTGATCATTACGCAGTGGTTTGCCCTCTCTCTTATTCTTCTTTCCGAAATAGAAGACAAGAAATATTCCACTTCGTCCAACTTTAATAACTCGTAATTTTCTAGTGAACGTGTTATGAGTTAACCGACTGCTTGATAGTTCGAAATTCGGAACAAGCTCCGATTACGAATCGAAGAGAATTTCATACTCAACTCATGGCAAAACTTAACCAGAGCTTTAACCGAGGGTGGAATTAATATAATTTTAGGGACAATAACTCTCAACTGACTTCAAGAATCAGTTAAGGGCCAGATATCTTGTGACGTACCGCCACCCCGAAGTAGTTTCTACAACCCTTACGTGAGGGCCACGCGCATGTTGCTCTGGTTGCAGTGCCCGGGAGCTCTCGTGATCTAGTAGCCTGGCCTGCGCCCTTGAAATGCTTTCTGATACAAAACTCCTCTAAGGTTCTGCATCATCGATTTCTCAAAACAGGCGTCATGATATCTGGGTTTTCGCCGACACACCTGCCAGAAATATTTGTACAATTTCACCTAAATAATGTTCTCCACAAAATAAATGGTTGTTTTAATGCAACTGAGTATATCTCGCTAGCAGCGACTTACAAAATAAACTAATATCAAAATTTAATTCGTATTATAAAATAAAAAATATCAAAATTTAATTCGTACTATAAAATAAAAAATATCAATATATTATAAATGCATTACCTTGTAAAGATGAGGCCTCGTCTCTCAATAAGCCCACTTCACTGAAAAAAAAAACAAAAAAAAAATGTTGTACATATATTGAAACTAACCAACATTTGTAACAAATGGGTAATGATAAAACACCAGTTCACTGCCTTTAGTTCGTGGCAGAGTCACAAAACTTTCCTTTTTGAAATTACGAAATAATCTTAAAAACTTCTCTTGTACTAAGGTACATAGTCATCGCGCAAAGTGGCCGAGCTTCTTAGAAGAACATCGCCTGCCTTCACGATGGACTCGTGTACCCTCGCCGACACGTAAAATGATTGGTCAAGAACCTGTATCATAATGAAGTCTGTATTGTAACGAGTGTCCGCCGGCCAAATTCTGAAGTCCCAGTCTTTCTGCACATTCAGGCCGGACTGCACGGAGGATCACGCCATTCTTCTCCCCGAAACTTTTTCACTCAATAGAAACTAAAAATATATTCAACTAATCAAAATTTAATGCTAAAATCATACTCAATTAAAGCTTTAGCCAATTAACATCATACTCAATTCAATGTGAAAGCTCACCTGTTATTCTACACATCCAAATTTAAAACAACAATTCAAATATATTAAAATAACATTTCTCATTACATTTTTTGGAGGCTGTAAATCTTTGATTGTGACAAGCTTGTAAATTTCATTTACTTTATATTGTGTATTTTGATTTTTTGTGGTAGGCGTGTGCAGACTAAAACAACTGGGGATGCATACACCATTCGTGGGCCTCCTTTTTTAAAAGTATCTTTTTAAAATAATTTTATAGTACAGATATCTCAAGACTAACTTTTTAAAAACTATTTTCATATCACTATCATGTTCCTTATTATCTGCCAAAAGTTATTACTGTCACGTTTCTAAAAATATAAAAAAAAAAATTACTCAATTTTTTAATACATTTTTCTTCTTATTTAAGGTCGCATCAACTTCTTGGTCATTAGCGACCACTATTGCGTGCATCGGTATGGTAACAATGCGGATGTCATGATATGATGGTGATAGAGAGTGAAAGGACGAACACAATACAACAACGGCCGAGGCGGGACTCGAACCCGCGATCCTTCGGTCCGAGATCGCGAAGGCACAGTTACTGCCTTAGCGATCTTGGCCATCTGGAGCGGCAATAAAATCTTCTTTAACGGTTCGTTAGGAATTAATGATTATTTCAGTGAATATATACACAGTTTTACTTCAAAAAAACATTTTTATGGAATTTGAAGTTTGGGACTTGATCTAAGAAAATATGAAATTTCCTTTATTTGAAGGACTGAATTTTGATTTATAGAAAATTTTTGATTGTTCTTATTTTATACATTCAAAATAGGTCCCTTTCAGTAATTACTAAGGATAAACACCTTTTATGTTGGCAAACTTTGTAATGTGCAAATACATAATTGGTATCCCATGTAACAATGCAAACTTAATGCTGTGAAGTAATAATTTTGTTTCTATAACAAGTATTATAGGAAATTCGAAACAATCAATTTTTGAAGATTTCTGGCTTTATTTTTTTGTCTCAGATTATTATGAAAAAATCACAAATAAAATTGTTTATCCAGTTTCAGGGAACATGTGATACTAATGTTCCAGTGCCAACATTGACCTACTATACAATAGCAAAATTTCAGAAAAAGGAAATTGGGATTTGAACTAGCCATCTCGTGTAAAAATTTAATTACACTGCGTTTTTCTAATAAAACTTTATAATTTTGGAACTCTTATTATAGTTTGGGTTTGATGTTAAGGAATGGTCATGATTAATGCAATTATAAAAGTTGTTTCCTTTTGTAAATATTATTTCTTCTTTAAAAATACTTATATTGTTTCCTGACTCACTATTTTTGGAGCACGAAACGTGTTTGACTAGACTAATTTGAACTTAAGAGACTTAAGTTGAACACTGAGAGACTTCATAAAATAACAATAATGTGCGTATACACAATGGATTTTAACTTGACCTCTTGATCAAATTCCATATTCTAAAAGAGTAAACACTGCATGTAATATTTTTATTACACAAGGCTATGTGCTCCTTCCAAAATGTTCATATGCACAATGTCTGGTTTTTACTATGTGACAAAATTTGCAGCATTCTCAGATGCACATTCGGTATCTACTTTTCAGGATCTCTTAGAACTGAGATAACCTAATTAAATTCGGCTTAATTGTAATGTTTCGTTTTTGTGGCCTAGGGTAATTATGAGCCAGTACTTGTTCATTATAAACTGTTTAAAAATATTTAATGTAAATAATTATTTCAAATTCAATATGGAATTTGTAATAATCTGTATAATATGTAATATTCAATGTGGAATTTGTTAATGTATCCATCAAGTGAGTTTTTCAAATCGATATCCCAAATTTATGAATTTCAAAAGCTATCACATTTGTTCATTGGTGGGTTGCACTCAACCGCTTAAAAATCGGTGTAAACGAGAGGAATAGTTCTGTGGTGCCCAACACTTATCCTCATCTACCTTTGATTCAAAATCCAACTTGTACGCCCTTTTGACGATCCACGAAATGGGATGTCTTTGAGACTTTACTGAAAAGATTCAGTGATTTAACACACTTTCTAGACATCGCAGAGTATAAGAAACTCGCGAACACGCACGAACAATATTCTTTCGGTTAGCGTATTTACACACTTCAAGAAAAGATTCTGTGTGAGCTCACTATCGATTGATACCACTGCAATTTCCCTTTACCTATCCCACTCCACCTCCCCTTTCTACTCCACCTATGTAATAATATTCCTAAAATAATATAATGTGATTAGTGTCGTGTCAAAATAAATAACGCACATAAAACTACGTTTCCAGAAGAAAATTTAAGTGATGGTTTGGTAGCCAACAATGGTTTTCACCAATGGAATCAGGGCACTGAACTAGATAACAATCACATAATTTTGTTCTGAGGCAAATTTCATTGTCGCACTGTGTTATTAGTATATTCCCTCGAATTCGGAAATTTGTTTTGATTTCTTGTGATCCTGACCTACAACACCGAAATTGATACCATGTTTTTAATAAAATATATTCCTCACTTTTAGAGCTTTCAATTTTATAGTTTGCAGTTCTTCAGAATAAATATATTTCTCCGTCATTTTAATATTTCGAACAACTCGATATTTCATTCGAACACTGGTATGCATTTGTAGTTGTGTGTCGAAATATTTCCCCCCTCTTATCGAAAAACTAGGGGTGGGCATACTTTCTCGAGCTCTTTATAACAGTTACGCGATATAAAATTCAAGTTAAACCTGAGCAAAAATTTCACAATTTCGTATAGGATTGCTTATATTGTTGCGGCTAATGACGTCTAATCTCTTAGTAAAGAATCACGACATTAATACAAAAACCATACTATTGATCATGTTACGAACCAGCGAAATTACTCTTCAGACTGGGATTTGAACTTCAGAGCACACGTTTCGAGATTCCATTACACAATCTAACTGGAGATACTATAAAGATACCAACTATGGGCCCCCACATAACTTGTAATCGGTTCCCGATAGCGAAATACAGATTTCGCTCAACAATGCGGAATCAAGGGGCATGTTAAATGATAAGGAAATATTGAGTGAAATATTTTTAATTTTCGAGAAATTTATTTTTTTATAATTTGTTAATTAAATGTAATCATCTTTAATTTATATATTTTTCTCACTAGTAATAGATAGATCATAAAAAGAGGAACGCAATGATGTAATACATGTTAATATTTTGTGTACAAAATTATACTTCCTGACATGAGATTTTAAATTAAATGAGCAAATTTCCTGTGGCAGCCGCCACAACTGTCACTTTTTGAAAATGTGGCCTTCGCGACCTCTGCCTGCCAAAGTGCCGAGAAGGCAACCTTCCTCCAAAGCGACAGATGCAAAGGGTTCTACAGGAAACCTCGTACATTCAATTTAAAATCACATGCAGAAAGAATAATTTTATACACAAACTACTATCAAAGAATTAACATATTTTACATCATTGTATTGGTTTATGTTTGATCTATTTATTGTTAGTAAAAAATATGGTTCCATTTAAAAATTCAAATATTGAATTTCTCGAAAACTAACAATAATTCGAACAATATCACTATGACAAAGTACTTACCCCATAATTCCGCATTGTTGAGCGAAAACTGCATTTCAGTATCGGCAACCGTTTAGACGTTATGGGGCATGGCCCATGCCTGGTGTACCCAAAACTTGTATGCCAACCTGTATGCCCAGTACGCCAAATCTCGCAAGTTTTAGAACGTTTTTGTAGTCTTATAAAAAGAAAATGAGAATTGCAAAAGAATGGCACATTCTCGTACTGGTTGTCTTTTAATCTCTTTAATCAGAGTAGCTTTCCAGTTTTGCATCATCTTCTTCTCAGCTGTTATCTCTTGCTGCCTATTTTTTTCTTTTATCTGAATTTTTCAATCCCCTAAAAGTAGAACTGAAATGCAATATTAAGAATATAACGGAAATTAAACCTAATCCTACACGAAAATTTTCTTTAAAAAAAAGTCGAGCCTTTTTAGGAAAATTGCTCTAATTTTCTCTAATTTTCATTATGGACCCTTCCATGAATTTGTAAACTCTATTGCATTTGTGAGTTAAAGTGCTTCAAATCACTTCAAATTATAATTTTGGAAAAACTCAAAAATTTGCTGGGGAAAAGTGCTTGAAATTTCGAATTTAAACGCCATTTCCTTAAAAATGGCTCCACATTTTTCAATGAAAATCGCCATTACTGCAATATTTTACTCTTCTTTGATATTCGTAAAATAATATTTCCGTTCCACCATTAGGAAATCGAAAATTTTAGAAAATTTCAAAAAAATGTATTTTGGGCGGCGATAGATGGTAGTTGGCAAGTGTACTTGGCAAGTTAGAATAGCTAGCCCTGAGCAAAGGAAATAGGAAACTAATACGGGACGGCCTGTTCCATTCAGTCGCACCACTAGTTCGTTTACTTTTCAGAACGTCAAATTCAGGTAGCTATATTTTGTTCACTAAGCCTCAA